CTTGAGAATGTTCTACAAGGAGACCCCCGGGGAAGTCAGTGCAGGGACAGTAGGGGGTCCGCGATCTCACAGTTGGAGGAGTGTCAGGAGGTGAGAGGGAAGGCAAAGGAGGACAAGGGCTAGAAAGCTGGTAAGCAACTCCCGGTGAGAGCTGATGGTGTGTGAACCCCCGGGGGGCTCTTCCGGCAGGGAGTGGTCCCGGTTGAGGTGACTGGATGAGGGAGGCGAGGGCCAGGGAGGTGACAGCACGCCCCTCTCCTGTCTCTCCTCTCTCCAGGAGGAGCCATGGGGGACTACGTGTTGGCCGAATGTGAGTGACAGGCAGCCTGGGACCTCTCTTGGGAGGAGACGTGGAGACTGAAAGAGAGGGCGCCCTGGGGCCTTCTTTGCTTCCAGGACTGAGTCGGACCTAACAAGTAGGAAGCCACCGAGGAACTCTCTGCTTGCAGCCTTCCCCATTCATTCTCGAAAAGTTTCTCTCATTTAGGTTTTTGAGTTCCTGCGCCTCTCCGGAAACGGCTGTCAGGAACCTCCAGCCGCCTCTAGGGTCTGCCTTATTTTCTGCACCACTTCGGACTCCATATACCTATGGCCTCTCCTCTCCCACCTCTGGAATAGGGCTCCTAAAATGTTGGGGGGCTCACAGTTCCTTTCAACATCTGAGAAAAACCGTGAACTTTCTCCTTGGGACGTGGGAGTCTCATACCTTTACCAGAATTTTCAACACACATCCCGGCATTTTCTAGACCCATCCAAGTTTCCTTTTGACCCCCCGCCCTCTCTGTTATCCAGCAATTCACCTGCCACCAAGCCCTGTGGTCTTTTCCACCAGAGGTTGAAGTGGGTCATTGTACAGCCGTGAAGGCCGCGCACTGCACAACCCAAGGAGGCCCATTTCCCAGAAGGGCTCTCAGGCGTGGATGTTTGTGTCCTCTGATAGTTTTCCAGAAAGTGGGTGGGAAGTGTCTTGACGAGGGGCATCTTTTTTCTAATTGGCAAAAAAGTGTCATATAGGTTTCTGTATAGGAATGATTTACGTGAAGGCGTCTACAATGCCTCTGGGATATGCCAGAGTTGAAGGAACACGGTAATTTCCCACTTGGTCTCAGATGCTATGAAGTGATAATGAAAATGAAAATAAGGAGGAGGAGGAGGAGGAGGAAGAGGATAACGTGGGGGATTTACTTGCTGCCAGACTGAGTTCTGAGACCTACTGACGCGCGTTATCTCATACAATTCTTACAATATTTGTTTCATGTTAGTACTATTATCCTCATATTTTTTTAGATGAAGTAAATGTATCCCCGGGCTGCCAGGGAGAGAGGCAGGTTTCAGCCTCTGTCGGATTCTGATCCCTGTCCCGCACCAGTGCATTCAGGCGGTTTAGACGGCGCCCAGGAAATGGAGAGGGGGGCGGGGGGACGGCTCTTCCTGTCTGTCTGGGTGTCTTTACTCTCAGTGAGCTGGATGGAAATGAAGGGGTAACAGCAGAAAATCATCTCAACTACGTTTCCTTTCAAAGTCTCTGGGGAAAGCACTCCACCCCCCACCTGCTCTGTCTGGCATCGCTCCCGGGCCCCCAGGTCAGGGCTGTCATTGCTGGGGTCAGCCTGTCGCCGTGTTGGACCTCACGGTGTTTGCCCTCTGCCGGGGCCACCAGAGTCACAACGCCGGTGGCATTTCCCCCCCAAGAACCGGAGCAACGCTTGTCATATGAAGGATGGCAAAAATGGGGGGGCCCGGTGGGTTAAGTGTCTGACTCTTGGTTTCGGCTCAGGTCATGATCTTGTGGTTTGGGAGTTCAAGCCCCACGTCGGACCCGGGGCTGACAGCG